TTTTAACGATAAAGTTCTGGCAACCACAGCTGCCGTTTTTTACCGTAAAAATTACGGTTTTATTTTTTTACAGTGTACTGAGTTTCAAACCATTGCTTTAACCTAACCATACCACCAAACCTGTCCCATCTTACCCATATCCCACCTCAATAGCGGCAAAAGAGTTTTGCAATACAACATGAACACAATAACATTGTACCTAACAATTTTTCAGAATCTAACCTAGTTAAGGACACTATCGTGTTCCAAATCAGCAACGTTTTAGGTTTAAATTCAGTTCAGATGCTTCATAAGAGTTTAGCGATCATTCTGCTGGTGTGTGATGCAGCCCTGTGATACAACTGGATTCTACAGCAAAACAAGAATGCTCCCAAGAAACCAACATATACACTCGGCGACCTCCAGCAAGTTAACCGGCTTCGACAAATTCTTCTTCAGATCTTTTAAATGCTCTCCCTCTGAAACAACTTTTTTGTTTCAAACTGACTCCTTCCAAATACTTGTCATATAGAGAACACGTTTCACCATCCAATCAAAGATTAAAAATCAAGTCCATCCCTACTTTTAGACTTGTTTGCCTTTACGAGAATGAGAAAGGTCAATGGAGATTGGGTGTCACAGGACAGATTCAGACAGAAGTCATCGGGTCCAGCGCCTGAAGGACGATCACGTAGGGTTGGCGAGTGCTCTGCACCAGTGTCAGATGAGACAGCTCAAGGTTATGAGGATATAAAATGGCCTTTGACAGACAGGTGGTATATATTGCACCCATGGTTACAGGAGACGAATTGGTGTGGGTGTGAAACGTGATCACCTTGCAATACTTGCAGTCGAAGGCATGAAAACGAATACCTATCTGAATGCTAGAAAGCGGGGAGTGCAACCACACTCATTTATTTTACTAAATAAATCATTCAAAAACTTAGTCTCACACTGTACACTAGGTCTGATCAAATACAGCCAGGGAAGGTAAAACATAAAACCATATTTTAAACCATTTTTGTAAAGCGATAGCACAGCTATTTGGGCACAAAATATTGATTTGGTTTTAGATATTTTAAGCTCACTTCCAATAAGCTCTTTGTTTCCGCAGAGAAAAACTATTTCCAGCAAGTTCCTAGCAGTTCCCTTTGATAAATACGTTTACATTTTTTTTAGTTAAAGAATTATCAATGGTACAAACTCATTGCTTTTTGTCAAAATTAGCTATGTATTTATTTGTTTTTGCGAGGAAGTGGTTGGGCACTTCTCTCCAAAATTTTACAAAAGATTAATTTGTCAATATAAGAGTTTTAGCATTTAACAAGATATTTATTATTCATCTATATGTGAAAATGCCCTTTGCTTGGCAGATTGAGTGGTTAAACACAGTATAGCATGAGGATAGAAACATGGCGTTTTCTTTATTGGTTTAACTTAAAAAAGTAAGTAACCTGGTTGCCTTAAAATTTTAAGTTGATTGAACTGGAAAAAGTGAGTTAATACAATGAAGGAGATCGATTTAATCATCAGAAACTCAAAATAATAAGTTATCTGAACTAAATAAATTATATAAGTAGATTTGACAAAAGAAAAAAAATGTAGTGATACCAAATCTTGAAAATATTTTTTTTTTTTTACAGTGGATATTCTGAAGAGAACTGTTTCTGATTCACAAAACACGCTTCCAAACACAGAGATAAGGTGCTTGCACAGAGCTGATGGTTTAAATCCATTCTTCACTGTAATACACAGGATCCATGCAGTGGAAAATTTGCTATAGGTTTATAATTAAAATATAAAAATATAGCTGCAAGCATCAATTAACGGGGTTCAGATGTTTAAAAGGGATACTCCACTTTTTTTGGAAATATGCTCTTTTTACAACTCCCCCAGAGTTAAACAGTTGGGTTTAACTCAGTTGGGACATTATTTTACAGTAAAATTATATCACAGTTATAGATCGTATAGTACGGAAACTTTCTGTTAACCAATTAACAGTTTTGCACTGTAGCATTTCTACCGTCTACGATCTTTTACCGTTAAAATTGTGATTATTTTTTGCAGAGTTTAAATTCACCTGATCCAGCTGATAAAGTCCTTCATACTTTTTTTTTTTTTGAAAATAGGCTCATTTTACAACTCCCCCAGAGTTAAACAGTTGGGTTTTACCGTTTTTGAATCCATTTAGCCGATTTTCTGATATTTAGAAGAATATCAGTAACCAAACAGTTTCTGGTGTCATTTACTTCCATTAACTGATATTCTTCTAAATATCAGAAAATCGGCTGAATGGATTAGAAAACGGTAAAACTCAAACGTTTAACCCTGAGGGAGTTGTAAAATGAGCCTATTTCCCCCAAAAAATGGAGTATCCCTTTAAGCACATGCAAAAAAAAAAGTCTTATGTTTTATTTAGCAACCCTGTAAACACCTACAGTAGATCAGGGGTAGGCAAGTTCGGTTCTAGAGAGCAACTGTCCTGCAGAGTTCAACACTGAAAAAACCTCTCCTGCCTTTAGCCTTAGTAATCCTGAAGACATTGATTAGCTTGTTCATGTGTGTTTGATTAGGGTTGCAACTAAATTGTGCAAGATTACTAAGGCTGAAAAAACCTCTCCTGCCTTTAGCCTTAGTAATCCTAAATACATTCAGGTGTGTTTGATTAGGGTTGAAACTATAGATTATGCAGGACAGCGGCTCTATAGGACCAAACTTGCCAACCCCTGCTCTATGGAAAAGACCATTTACAGACAAAATTTACTAAGGAAATGTAATACTGTATTTCAGCGCTCTGTGCTTGAACCCCTAATTAAATATGTTAAACAAGGATTTGAACCCGGGTCCCATTGCATACTAAATTGGCATAGTAAGTCTGTTATGCCTAATACCAATAATCAATGATATCAGCAATATTAAATAAGTAAACCTCCAAAAATCAAGATGGCTATTCTTTATATTATTGAAAAATATTATTGGTTTCACAGAAAATTTCATCCAAACAGTAAAAATAAACTTAAGGAACATCTTTACCCCTAAAAGGTTCATATAAGTATAGTAAGTTATATATTACTCCTCTAATGAACTAATTTGAACCTTTTAGGGGCTTTATGTATAGAGTTGTCCCTTTACAATACAGTATTTCTTTTAATGTGGAATGGTTCGAATATAAAATTCCTCTAATTTGATTGGTCAAGCAGCAAGTACTGATATGGCCAGTCCAACAGCACTGGGGCTTGACACACTGTTTCACTGTTTGTACCACTGCATTTTATTCTGTTTGTGTCATTCTGGACCAGTATGTGAGTGTTTTTACCAGTGAATTGAGAATGAGGAACAGAGCTGGAAAATAACGGTAGAACTCTTAAAATAATCGTTGATAAGTGGTCTAATCAATAAAATGGGTTTATTGAAGTTTAAACAAATCTGGCTTCAGCATTCAGGGTCATGTTTTTGGTGGTTGGCTCTTTTGTATAGGCCTACTGTTTTGTATGATATTGGCCTTCTTTTGGAACGATTTTTTTGTTGGGATGAAACAAACTGCATGTAATGTAGGCAACTGATATTAACACGATGGCTTAATATGATGAACAGATTTAATTTAGGATTTTATTCACACATAATGGTAAACGGAAGCTTCAAACATGCTTTGACGCCCAACAAGAACCAATAAGGTTTGTTTTCACGTGTCAAGCAAGTGTGTTCACACCGAACAGAGCGAATAGAGCGTCAAATACACATCTATCTCGTCTATTGAATGTTAAATATTCCGCTCGAGTTTTCAAAATTTTCAAATTGAAGAAGACGTTCGTGGCAGACGAGTTGCCCAATTTGCGTCACGCGTCTATTCGCTTGTATCCCTGATAGCACACGTACATCACGGAGATGTCTATTTGATGTGTGTATTTACATCTGGAAGACGTATTTTTTAGAGTGTTTGATCATCTGCAATACGTCTATACGAGATTTCCTGTCAGATGTCAAATAGACGTTTAGAAGATGTCTTCAAGATGTAATGATTTAGAATGTATGTTAAACTGACATCTTAAAGATGTCTATCAGATGTTACCCAGAGAGCACAAGTCTGTTTGATGTGATGTTTACATCTGGAAGACGTATTTTTTTTTTTAGATGGTTTGCTCATCTGCAATACGTCTATAGGACGTTTCCTGTCAGATGTCAAATAGACGTTTAGAAGATGTCTTTAAGATGTAATGATTTAGAATGCATGTTAAACTGACATCTTCTAAACGTCTAGTTAACATCTGACAGGAAACGTCCTATTGACGTATTCTATTGCAGATGAGTAAACACTCTAAAAAATACGTCTTCCAGATCACATCAAATAGACTTGTGCTATCTGGGTAGTAAACAGCAGATTCTTTCCAGATGAAGTGATCTTTAACAGACATTTTGCAGATGTACGTGTGCCATCTGTTATACCGTCGGAAATAATTAAATTCGTGTTTGGTGTGAACACACCATTAAATATACTCCATTCAATATGGATTATGTTAAGAGTGTTTTTATAAATGTTTTGAATCTGGTTTTAAATCTCAGGTTTCATTAAATCTTCATTTGTGTTTCAAAGATGAGGTAAATGATACATTTTTTGGGTTATATATAGGGCAATATATTGGGTTATTATTCCGTCACACAGATTCAGTCTATGCCTGCACTGAGACAGGCCCGTTTACTCTTCCCCAGCTGTTTACATTCCACTCTCCTCAACAGCAAAAAGTCAATAACATTAAAGTATACATTTACAAGTATAACCTTTAATGTGCACTTTACTGTACCTCTCTGAAAGGGCCTGATGCCAATTCTCTCTCTGCTCTATAGTCTTCATAACAGATGGAGTTTGCTAAGAATGTTTTTTTTTTCCTTCTTTTTTATCAAGGCCAAATTGCATATTCATGATATTGGGAGTTAAATTCATTGATTTAGGGATCAATTGTAAAAAAAAAAAAAAAAAAAAAAAAAAAAGAGAGAGATGAGATGCCATGGACTCAGATATAGATTCAGATTTTTTTGGTACATGTGGAATTTTGGATAGCATCTGGTGGAGCAGAGATCCAGATGGAGAGATGAGCAAAGAGCTGAGAATACTACTCTGTTATTAGCAGCCAGATGCATAATCAAACTGAGCAAAATATTTCATTGATATGCACATAAAAGCCACAAAAATAGAATTTTTAATGCATGGCCTCTTTTAAAAAATAATAAAACAGGGAGGGATGTCAAATAAGCACTTTTCTATCACCAGAGGCCAAGAAAGTGTAGCCTGTAATAAAAGCCAAAAATTATAATCACATGTTCACAGATTGATGGCCAGCACGGTAAATGTAGCTACTAGCCTTGATAAGCCTACATCGCAACTTTTTATGGCGGCTTTGAAAAAAATATACAATATTAATCACACACGAGAAGTTCTTCATCAAAAGCTGTAGCCTACACTCAGATGATTCAGGACGCGGCAGGTTGAATGGAGGGGATGGAAAAGAAAAGGGTTTGGTGAAATCAGCTAAAGAGTAAAGTAATTTCAGAAGTAAGTTATAGGCAAGGCTATATTTTGGTAAGTTTAGGAGGAAAATAGATGCTTGTTTTTCACTGGAATAACGAGCCACATGGACCGTAACAAAAAGACAACATGAGCATTAATGGGGTCGGTTTTTATTTTTTTACGGTGGAGTTACTTACATGCGCTCCATCAGCATCACTCTTCGCCAAGGTACCCAAGTGCCCGTGCGGCAGCTCCTCCTCCGCGTCAGTTCGCTGCAGCAGGCGCTGAGGCTTCGTGCGCTCCTCCGAAAACGCGTTCAGCTCGCGTCCCCGTTCCGCTCCGTCCCGTTTGATGCTGCTGCCCCAGCCTTTCAATACAGGACACATTCATAAAAAACTGCACAACCGTCAAAGCCATGATTCGATGTAATTCTACAGCCACTGCACTTTATCTAGTCTGCGGCATCATTTGCGTAGCCTATTCTGACGCGACACTAAAAATTCACTGCCATGCCCGTGATAGAAAACGGGGCCATCCGTGAAATTAAGAATTCGTTTCACCTGTTGGCGAACATTACACATAGATAGCTACACCGATGGAGCTTATACTAATACCACGAATCCGCTCCCAACGAGGCATCCGTCGCTCACCTGTCACGGCGAGACGCGCGGTAACTGCAGCCCACAGGAGGAGGCAGCGCGTCGCCAACATGATCACATACTCCTGCGGCTTCAACCGGAGCGAAAAGATTCGAAACGCGACATTTACCGCCGCATCCCGTTCTGCACAACAAGTCACGAGGAAGACGTTAAGGGCATCCGTGGAAAACAAGACGACGCTGACGGGAAAGAGTTTAGAAACAAGTGCCCGAGATGTCCGCTTTGGTCGGTCAGAGATTGCGGGCGGAATTCATGTTGGGATTGAAACGCTCCTTCTGCGGGACTCCCATCCGCACCTCCTCCCACTCTCATCTCTTCTCCTCCCCTTCAGTTCACTTCACACCGCACTCACATGCATCAGATTCCACTTCTGTAACCTGGTGTTATTTTAAAAAATATAAAATATTACGATGCAAAATAAACAGAAAACTCAGGAGTGCATATCAGATATATAATTATATAAAACGAAATATTTTATTGTTATATACACTGTAAAAATGGACCGCACTGTTCTGTACAGCACTGTTACATGCACTGTAAAAAATATATATATATATAATATATATAGACTATAGGTACTAATAGGCTATGCTACAGCATAGGCCTATAATACAGTTCTAAGCGCAAGGCATTCGTAATGAGTGAGAGATCACGTCATCTGAGAGATAAAAGCATATCAAATATTCTCGTCCTCAGCAAAATCTCTCATGCCTGAGCTCTAAATCGATCTGTAGCCTACTAACCCTTAGTTACTTTAAAAACATTTCCCATCTCCAACACTAAATCATTCAGACTAAGTAAACAGCACATGGCACACTATTTAGGGTACAGGAGAGACAGATCTGATGGGCGAGGAATTTACTATTGTAGCACATATTTTTTATCAATAACTATGACCAAATTGAACAATTGCATGCTGCTAACTGCACAATACACTGCATGTTGCCTATAGATACTTTTTATTAAACAAAAATGATGTATGGACGACACATTTCAATATGGATATGGTGCATTATGTCCAGTCAAAATCCCATTTCTAATCCAGTTGTGCGAAAATGCCTTAACTTCAAGAAAAAATGTTCTTCCCAATGTCATATTGGAAATGAAAGGTCAGTTCAAGTACATTTCATTGTATAATATTATCTCTGAATGGTTGAATTATATGGTAATCAAGTTTTAAAGAATACCTTGTTATTACCACAGCACATGATTTATAAAAAAACACACGGCAATATCCCCTCCCATTGTACCTGTGAGTCGTTACAGCATTATTAAACATTGACTGATTATTCATAATACAAATACTAAACAATTTCAATAATTACAGAAGAAATTATTAATGTGCAAAATAATAATGAAAACCTGCCATTGCCTTATAGCTCCTTCAACATAACAGACCCATTCATAAAAATGTGATAAACTGTGATAAACAAACACAATATCTACCTGAAACTAAAGACTAGCAAACATTAGGAGATAACATCATTCAACACAAGTCAATGTTTTACATAAATAAGCACACAAACTGACCATTTTGTCTTATTTTAATAAAAATGCATGAAACTCAATACTTGTAGCATCTTCTTGAAGTAAACAGCGTTTAATATAGAATTGTAAAAATACTGTTTCAATATAGAAAACAGCCCCCCTCCCCCTCCCCTTAAAATATATATAGTAGAACTCTACATTTATTCAGGAATTGGTCTTAAAACATGTATAATCCCCATAGGCCTCCTTTAAAAGGCTAATTCCCAGCAGTGTTTATGGAAAATCATACAAGCTCAAGATTTTGGTCATGCTCCACATACTCCTTTCAGAACTAATAATATAAATGCATAGTTCTGTCACTAATGGATGACATTAAACATTAATTAGCATCGAATAATTAAAACACTGTCCATTGTAAACGCCATACCACTAAACCTTTTAAATCCCATTTCAGGAAATCCAAAAGGTTATATAAAAACACACTCAAAATACCTCAAAGACCTTCGTGAAACCACAGGACATTTCTGCCTTCACAGTGTATTCTACCCTTCAAAAACCACCGCAGCATTGTTCTACCATCAACACTGCCTCTTAACCTGGAGAGGGGCCAGGCACAGCACTTAAACTAATTGGATAATGCCCCTCCAGCAAAGCCTCATTAAAGTCTCAATACCGGCACGTTCCCGGATATTGCTGCTGAAAAGTCATGGTCAAAACCGAGGGAAAGAGAGAGCCAAAAGAGAAGTCATGGAGGTCACCCTCAGAGGAGAGCGTGGAATACTTGTCAACTGTTGATTAATACCATGTTTGATTGGTTGTGGTGAGACAAACGTACAACACTGAAACGGAATGTCTGATATGCTTGACGATAATGTATAAATATTGATTCAAGACATGACTGATTCATTATTATACAATCTTTATGGAAAACACTGGGATTCTCTGCAAAGAGATGTACAGTAGCACACCTCTATAAATAAAAGAACATAAAATACAAAGCTTTTCACAACAATTCAGTCAATAAGTCTTATTTCTCAACTAACGGTGATAGTAATCTTAATTTAATTGTATAAGTCAGGGTTCCCCATGCAAACTCACTCCTGGAGGGCTACTGTCCCTGCAGAGTTTAGCTCCAACCCGGATCAAACACACCTGAGCAAGCTAATCAAGGTCTTCAGGATCAGTAGAAACTCACAGGTAGGAGTGTCTGATCAGGGTTGGAGCTAAACTCTGCAGGGACAGTGGCCCTCCAGGACCGAGTTTGGGGAACCCTGGTATGAGTGAAAATGAGTGACCAATGAGAACGGAGAGTGAAAGAATCGACCGATTTAGGACTGAATTCATCAAGTTGCAATTGCCCCATTGCGAGTATTGGGGAAACATTATTCCAATAAATGTGAATTAAGAGGGTTGCAGTATGGAGTACAACCGTGATGTATAGCTCCCATCCTGCATGGCAGGGAGTGGTTTTTGTAGTAACTGATCCAGGTCATCATGCCCCCCTTTAGCCTGAAGAGGAACACCAGTCGCAATCCACGAGTCCAAGAGTCCAGAGTCCCAATCTGATTCTGAGGAGGCCGTGGACCACGTGAGGTTAGGGAGCAGAGCAGATTCAATGCAAACAGAGGCTCCGGAGTGTGACTGGAATGAGCTGTTTGAGGCTTTACTGAATGATGTCTGGGAGGTATCTTCGGGAAACAATTCTGGAGGATCATGATATTGACGGCACTGGAGTTGATGGTCTTCATCGAAAAATGGAACCAACTGAGGAGGGTCCAAATTGGATGAGTTAGTGGTTACTTGGGTTTCCACTGGAAACAATTCATGTGACTGCTCAACATGGACACAAGTTTGACTTGCGTCATTGTCCTGTTGGTCAACTTGAGGCACATAGTGGGTATTGGGAGGAGTAAAATGCTGCGTTGGGATCTGCTTTGCAAAAGAAGATTCTTTCAGTGATGGTTCATGGGTTTCCGGCAAGGCACCTCCAGTTCGATTATTTATTTTTGTTGCAAAACCCACCTTGGGTACTGGTAAACAAGAAATGTTGGAAAGCACAGATGAGTACAGTCTTATCCTAGGAGCACTGCAATTCCAGGATAGCTTTGGCATTTTGCTTCGACTAATCTTTCTTCTCTTTGCAAGTTTTGGACTTGGAGTGAAGGACCTACAGCGCTTTTTAAAGTTAACTGAAAATTGGTAATCTGACAAATGTGGAAATGGTAGTAAATGGGGAAATGGAAAGTAAGAGATGTCAAACTCTGGAGACCCAACGATCTGCTGGGCCAAATTTAGTGATTGTTTTGTTGAAGACAACTTTCTATCTTCCATCAGAAACTGGCCACAACTTTCCGAATTACAAGCTTCCCTTCCGTGGAGTAGCATTTTAGGGCCTTGGTCCCAGTTCTGTTTTTGATTTTGGGAGCAGACTGTGTTCAGAACAGCACCTGTAAGACTCTCTGACATAGGCAACGCAAGTAGACCACGATCACTTTCACATCGATCCTGGGTTTCAGGGACATCTTCATCAACAGAGGTGGTACATGGGATTTTGTCATCTTTGGAGGAGCTTAGGATCATTTTAGACTGAGTTTCTGAAGGTGTGACAGAAGAGAGGCTTTTGAGTTTCTCGTCTATGGACTGGGAGTTTGAGAAAAACTGATGCGGGACTATATCCACGGAGGGAACACCAGATTGAAAGTCTTGAACCTTTGTGGTGCAGCTGATGTAAAGGCCTAATTTGTCATGATCAAGAGGATCAGGGCAGTTCTTTTGAATTCTATCAAGATTTGAGGTCACATTTTGTTGACCAGATGGACTGTGGCTAGGTTCAGGAAAGTTTTCTCTGTTGTCTAAAGAAAATATGTCAGTAATTGGCGGTACTTGTCCACAGTCTTCAACCAGTGGAGTCTGCAGAAATTTTTCATCCTCACTGACAGTTTTCTGCATCTCAGTTAAATGATTCAAATGTAACAGAGAGAAGTCTGCCGATGACCTGAAGAAAAAGAGTAAAACGAGTTAAATGAGAGGTTGCACTGTCAACATGGCAACAGAGAAAGGCAATCACTTGAACCGCTTCCAATCAAAGAAAGCTTTTGTAAAATGGGCCCTTACTTGATTAGAGTTGGATCCACTTCTTGATTTGGATTGCAACTAAAGCTAGGATTCATGGCAGCAGTTAGTTGGTCCACTACAGCATAGTTACTGTCATTTTGAATGAAAGAACGATGCATCTCAGATTGCAAGTGCTAGAAAAAAGGGGAAAAAAATAAAATAATTTGATGTCTATCAAATGAGATCTTAGTAGGGATGCAACAGCTCGCAGTTGACCCGTGATCCGTACAGACCAGGCTGCACAGTTCAGCACGCATGCGATCCGCGGATTAATTGAACGGTTGAGATGAGTGTCAGTATTTTCGGTCTGTGCATTCAGTCTTAAAGTGACAGCAGCCTAACATTCCTGCTGCTGTCTGTCATTAATGTTAATAAAACAACAAAATACAGCTTCAACAAAGAAAAATCTAGATTTAATTTCTACAGTAAACAAATAGTGAACTTGCAGTCTTTGCTTTGATATCGACATACACAAAGTGAGCTTTAGGCAATGAATGAACTAACTTTTCTGATTCGAAAAATGATCCGATCCGTGGCGCAAAAAAAAAAAAAAAAAAGAAAAAAAGAAAACCTATTAAATACATGATCCGAACCGTGAATTTTTCAGATCTGTTGCACCACTGGATCATAGGCAAGTTTGGATATGAATTTCAGTGCCTCCTGGTAATTGATATTAAGGCTGTCACTAACTATTG